CGGCGTGGAAATTGCACGAAGCCGTGGTGGACAACACAAAAGAAAAGTTCAGAGAGGCAGTTGAGCAATGGTTCGAGTGTCCTTGTACTTTTCGACTGGATCAAATTTTTGTAACGAACAGCTTGTCGATGACTAGCTCGCCCAAGTTCAATATATATGGGAATGAATTTGGAATGGGAAAAGCGGTGGCGGTCCGGAGTGGATGTGCAAACAAGTTCGACGGCAAAGTGAGTTCGTATCCAGGGTATGAAGGAGGAGGAAGCGTGGATTTAGAGATCGCCCTGTTCCCACATAATATGGCGAATTTGGAGGCTGATTCGGAGTTCATGAGTGCTGTCTCTTCCCCGCCTCATCTGTTCCATCAGTAATATGATGTATTTTCAAGATCAAGCTTGGAGTTCGGATGGTTTCAAGTTTCTAATTTTTCCATTAAATTTCAAACAATTGTGAGATTAATTTTCATCCTCTCTCTTTTAGCATTGTTTTTACACTTTTGACCTCTTTATTTTTTAATTTCATCTTCTTCTCCCTAATCAACGGGATAATATTTATTAATGATTAATGGTGGACTTGAACTGTTTAAATCTATTACGGAGCTCGAGCTCGAAGCCAATGCTAATGCAGAGTGTGGCACCAATGAAATTTCCATGTTCCTAGTGGGGTTGTATGCAATTGTATGGCGGCCCAATATACGTGGATACTTACCTATGACGAGTGTCCAACTAAATACTGAAACCGATTCAAATTTCGAAGAGGCAAAATCCAAGTTTTATTATCTACAGTTGGTTCCTTCTCCGAAGCCGCACATCAAAACACCAACTCTTCACTCATCTCTTCCCACAAGAAAAAGCACCAATTTTCCTGCTGCTACTCACAAACGCCTTAAACTCCGACCAAAATGAACCCTCGTTATCCTCCGCTGCGTCACATCTCCAGCTGCTTTGTCAAACCAGAATTGGATTGCCTTCCCCAAGAATCGAAGCAGCCACTATATTTGAGCCCTTTGGATCTCCCCATGCTTTCCTCCCACTATATCCAGAAGGGCCTCCTCTTTCACAAACCCCCCGACGCCTATCACCATCCACACACTTTTATGCCCAATCTTCTTCACCGCCTCAAAACCTCCCTCTCCACCGCTCTCCTACATTTCTACCCACTTTCCGGCCGCCTTGCTTCCACCATCAACGATCATCAACCTTCCATCTCGGTCTATGTAGACTGTGTTAACAGCCCTGGAGCCAAGTTCATCCACGCCGCCCTCGACACCACAATTTCTGATGTTCTCTCCCCCGTTGACGTGCCTTCCGTGGTCCACTCTTTCTTTGACCACGACCGGGCTGTCAACTACGACGGTCAAACCATGCCTTTGCTCTCCATTCAGGCAACGGAGTTATTGGACGGAGTCTTCATCGGCTGTTCCTTCAACCACGCCATCGGCGACGGAACCTCCTACTGGAATTTCTTCAACATGTGGTCTGAGATTTTTCAAGCACCTTCAAATCAAATTTCGCGTCCCCCAGTTCTTAAGCGTTGGTTTCCTGATGGGTATGGTCCAATTATAAATCTCCCTTTTACCCACACCGATCAATTTATCAGCAGATTCGAGGCGCCTCAACTTCGTGAGAGAATATTCCACTTTTCAGCAGAATCAATTGCAAAATTGAAAGCAAAAGCCAAAACAGAGTGCGGCAGTAAAGAAATCTCCTCCTTCCAATCGCTGTCTGCACTCGTATGGCGATCCATAACACGAGGTCGCCGCATAGCAGAGGATCAACCCACCATTTGCATGATGGCGGCGAATGGCAGAGCAAGATTAGAACCGCCCTTTTCTGAAAACTACTTCGGCAACGTAGTTACAGCAGTGAAAGCGGAAGCAAAAGCAGGGGAGTTGCTTGAAAAAGAACTTGGATGGGCGGCGTTGAAGTTGCACGATGCTGTGGTGAACATCACCGACAAGAATTTAAGAGACTCACTTGACCAATGGCTGCAATCTCCTTATACTTTCCAATTGGGTCGATTTTTTAGTCCGAATAGTATCATGATGGGGAGCTCTCCGAGGTTCAATGTGTATGGGAATGAGTTCGGAATGGGAAAGGCGGTGGCGTTAAGAAGTGGTTATGCCAATAAATTTGACGGCAAAGTGTCATCGTTTCCAGGAAACGAGGGAGGAGGAAGCATTGATTTAGAGATCTGCCTTCTCCCGCAAAATATGGCAATGCTGGAATCTGATTTGGAGTTCATGAATGTCGTCTCTTCCTCGCCTTTTCAGCCCTTTGAATCATGATTCTATGTCATAAAATATGCAACAAATCGTGTATTTTTCAAGATGATTTGATTTACTTTGAAACCCAGGAGCTGCATTTTGAATGTTTTTTTATCTTTGTGTGTATAGAAATGGTTGTTTTTCTTTGGAAATGATCCACCCCACTCTCTATACTTTCTCTGATCTATATAAGACCCCACCAAATCTACAGATTCGGGGAGGAGCTTAGTGTCGTGGGATTTCACATTTAATGTTCCAGATCAAGAGTAAAAAAAGAAAAAGTCTAAATTTTTTATTTGGATCTTTCTACTCGACAACTTGATTAAGACTACTAAAATGACTCTAGCATGCAAATGCAAATAAACAAGTTCATAGTTAAGGAAACATAAGAAGGAGCTTTCATTCTAATGTGAAAAATGATTATATATCTTATGGTCAATTGAAAGATCCTACCTTCATGAGAGAGAGAAACGAATTATTATTTTGTAATTAATAAACACGTTTAAAACCTTAATTTGTGCTGGTTTAGACTAAGTTTAAATAAAAAGTAGAATTAAACCATTGGAATATTTATGATGCAAAGTTGAATGTCTTGGTTATTATACTATTTAATGTAGACTTTGGTAACCTTACATCTTATGCATCCAAATTATCTTCGTTTACATCACTCGCACTGTTTTAAAAGCTGACCACAGAAGGTATCCACGAATCTTCCAATGCCTAACCCTTGCGGTTCAATCTTGGCTTCTCTCAAGTTTTTTCTATTTTCAAATAGGATTGGTCAAAATTGATCAGCCTTCCTACACCTCTTATTTAAACCAACCAACTCAACACGACACATCGGAACATAGATAGTCCGGCGTCTCACAAATCCACACTGTTCCGACAATATGATTCACTACATCTCAGAGTGCTTCATCGAACCTCACACCATCCCCGAACAATCTAAGCATCCATATCACCTTGGCCCATGGGACCTTGCCATGCTTTCTATGCACTACATCCAAAAGGGTCTGCTTTACGCCAAATCTCCCGCCACCGTCGACGACGGCGGCCGCTTCATGGACGATCTCTTGAAAAAGCTCAAGCACTCACTCTCAGTTGCCCTCGTTCATTTCTTCCCACTCGCCGGACGACTCGCAACGATTTCATATGAAGATGAAGGCTCTTCCCTCGTTTATGTGGACTGCAAAAACAGCCCCGGAGCCAAATTCATCCACGCGCGTGCCGACATGTCGAGTTCTGATATTCTTTCACCCTCTGACGTGCCGTTGATTGTCGAATCGTTCTTTGACCATGACAGAGCAGTCAACCACGATGGTCATTCCAGGCCGTTGTTGTCCGTTCAGGTCACCGAATTAGTTGACGCCGTCTTCATTGGGTGTTCCGCTAACCACACCATCGTCGACGGAACATCGTACTGGCATTTCTTCAACATGTGGTCCGAAATATTTGAAGCAGGGGATGACAATATTTCCATTTCACGCCCACCGATTCACCAGCGTTGGTTCCCGGAGGGCCATGGTCCAATTCTAAAGCTTCCATTTACGGACCCTGATCAATTTATTAGCAGATTCGAGGCGCCCCAACTCAGCAAAAAGTACTTCCATTTTTCTTCCGAATCGGTGGCTGCACTGAAAGCAAAGGCAAATACAGAGTACGAAACCAATAAAATCTCGTCCTTCCAGTCCTTATCTGCGCTGATGTGGAGATGCATAACGCGAGTCCGTGGCCTACCGCCAGATCAAACCATCGGTTGCATAATGGCAATAAACAACCGATCAAGATTGGAGCCACCCTTATCGGAAAATTACTTCGGGAATTCGATTCATACAATAAGAGGAGTAGCGACGGTGAAGGAGCTACTGGAAAACAACCTTGGATGGGCGGCGTGGAAATTGCACGAGGCTGTGGTGAACCACACGGATAATGTAGTGAGAGGTGCTGTGAAGAAATGGATGGAATCTCCGTTGATATTCCAAATAGCCGGAATGTTTGATCCATTGAGCGTGATGATTGGAAGTTCCCCCAGATTCAACAAGTACGGGAACGTGTTTGGAATGGGGAAGGCGCTGTGTCTTCGAAGTGGGTATGCTCATAAGTTCGATGGGACTGTAGCGTGTTACCCAGGTTCTGAAGGAGGAGGAAGTATAGAACTGGAGCTCTGCCTTCCGCCGGCTGCCATGAGTGCTCTCGAGGCTGATCAGGAATTCATGGATGCTGTTACGGTTTCATTTAATCCGTTGCACTGAAAACTACATTCACTTTAAAATAGGCGCCCCTCTTTTTGGTAATTTTTATCTTTTTTTTTTATTCCTTAATAAGAACGAGGTATTTTTACCTCTCAACACCTAAATCAAAGGGACACTTCAACCATTTCACAGACATGCCATTTTTGTCCTGATAAACAAGGAAATGTTGGTTTATTGCAAGGTTTAGTCCATATAACGGTTAGCCTTGCAATTTTAAAACGTGTCTATTAGGAAGATGTGAGTTAGTCTATTAGAGAGAGGTGGGTTTGGGCGGTTACAACTGGTATCAAAGCAAAATTACCAAACGGTGCAAAGGAATAAGGATGGACCCTCTCTGTAGCAAACACTTTTAAAATCATGTTCGAAGCTTTGAAAATCCTTAGTTTTATCCCTATGCTATTTTATGCTAGTATTATATCTGTTTCAAGCAGATCATTCCTCAGATTTTGAAGAACAAGGGAAAAGACTACAAGAAACGAGGGAAAAGAAACCCTTCAATGTACAGATATATTTCATTTCTCTAAATATTTGTATATTAACTATAAATCAAAAATAGTTAATATACAAATCAATATCAAGATGTGGAGTCATAAATCGTATGACAGCCCTATGAAATGTTTACAACATAGTGAACAATTTAAAGGAAACAAAAATACATAATTGTCACAAGAGAAGTATATATGAATTGAGCATCGTACACAAGGTACAACTTTACATATAAACTTCCATACCTATGAATTTTGAGGATCGACACAGAGGGCAAATGGTAAGCTTACTTTCGCACTCCTTGCACAGGCAGAGATGTTTACAAGGCAACAAAAGCATGCACACTTCATTAACCCTGCAACCCTTACAGATCATCAACTCCTTCATATCATTGCTGTTGCTGCGAAGCAGTTGAAAATCAAGTGACTGACCATTGCAGCACGATGCGGTGTCTTCAACCTCGCTATCCCCACATCCTTCCTTGCTATCCCTGCTTTGAGCATACACCTGCTGAAGATTTAACTTGAGGGCCGAGATCATGTTCTCGTTGTATCTAGCCCGCTGCTGCAACGCACCAGCTTCCACTGACAGCTGCTCCATTCGGTGTTCGAGCTCCATGTTTTTCTTGTTAATACACTCCATCTCTGCTTCTTTTTCTTGTAGTTTCTGAATGATTTTTTCCTCCACAATCGAAAGAGTTTGGAGTTGATTGGCTTGGATCTTCTCCAATATGGTATGTCGCAGCCTATCACCCTATTAATAGAAAGAGACATAGAAGATGAAGATCCATGGTTAAAATTCAGGAGTCAGGACACACACATAATTGAAACAGCTGTGAAAGAATTGTTGGTGCAACAAACATGAACAAGTAAATCATATTGAAATTTACAAGATGACCCAAGGCCACTGTGAACATTGATCACAAATAAAACTATAAAACCAACAAGGAAACGCCATATGGTAAAGGCACGCACAATCTATCATGACAGTGTGACTTCCAGAAAGTTTAAACCCAAATTCAAAAACTGACATAACCCTGATAAGACAACCGTGGAGGGTTGATCTAATGGTCAGAAGGCAAGCTATATACTCCAATCTCTATAAAGTCGTTGGTTCAAAATTATGGTGACTATCTATCATGAAAATTAAATATGCTAAGAACGCGTCAAAATCAAATATTATAGGGTTAAGAATTATCCCATCTGATTAGTGAGGGTAAGACGATGAAAACACTCGTGATTAAGCAAAAAAAAAAAAAAAAAAAAAAAAAAAAAAAAAAAAAAAAAAAAAAAAAAAAAAAAAAAA